AAGCTTCAGAGAGGAAAGGGGAGTGAGGGCTGATAGATGGCTCAGAGGTTAAGAGCACTGACTGTTCTTCCAGAGGTCCTGACTTCAACTCCCACCAACATGTTATGGCTCACATTTTATAATGAGAAATGGTGCCCTCTTCTGTCCCTCAAGGATACATGCAGGCAGATGCTCTATACACAATTAATAAATAAATCATTTTAAATAAAAGGGGGGAGGAGGGAGTAAAGACAGATGGCTCAGAAATAAATACCACTTGTAACTCTTGCAGAGAACCCAGGTTTGATGCTGAGCACAAACTTGGCGGCTCACAACCATACCTAGTATCAGTTCCAAAGGCTCTGGTAACCTCCTCTGGCCTCCACGGTCACTAGGCAATCACATGATACAATATACCCATTCAAGAGAAACAAACATAAACATGAAATTTTTAAATGGGGAGGGGGTAGCTAGAAGAGAACACAGAAAGTTGGAGAGGAAAAGACCATCTCAACCCAGTCCAAAGGGCCACTGCTCGTGCTAAATGATCCAAACAGCCCTAGTGGCAAGACCACACAACGGCAATCCCCTCCAGGAACATGTCTCTGTAAAGGCGCCACAGAGAGCAGAGACAAGCCAGGGGTGGCAGTGCACACCTTTAACCACAACTGGGAGGCAGAGGCAGGCGGGTCTCTGTGAGATAGGGTCCAGCCTGGTCTCCATAGTGGGTTCCAGGACAGGGCTGTGTAGAGAATCCCTGTCTCAAAAAAGGAAAAGAAGACAAAGAAGTGGCACAAGTTACATATCTGTCCCTTATCTGAGAAGCCTGGGTCCAACACGGAGACGGACATTCATGAGATGTCCTAGAGATGGGACCCAAGCTTAAACATGCAAATCATTTATTTCTCATACATCGTCTTTCTGTCATCTGAAGACAGTCTTACACAGTACTTGAAGAAGGCCAGCATTCTGACACAGCCCCTCATGTGAGGTCAGGTGTGAGATTTTCCACTTAAAGCATCATGGTTGTACTCCAAGAGTAAAGGGTGGAGCATTTTGAAATTTAGAACTTCAGAGTGACTCAATCTAAACAGGCAAGGAAAAAGCAACCAAGACCTTTCACCCTTACCTCCTTCTGCCTTGACTTCTTCGCCAGGCTCTCCTTCTAATACAGGAGGCTCCTCGATGAGAGGATGACCTCCACGGTTTTCTCTGGGAACCTGCCCAGGCTGGAAGCCAATTTTCTTCGCGTTCCTTGAGGCCGTGGCCTGGAGTCTCCCTTTATCGAGGTGTCCAGTAAGGGAATGGGAAGACTCCACGGAAGGAAGGGCGATTTCCTGAGAGATGGCTACATCAACAGCTTCCAAAACCGGTAAGTTTCCATGCTGGGTGAGCATCTTAGAGCTGAGAGACGGATCCTCCATGCTGAGCTGACTTTCTACATCATGCGTGGAGTGCACCTCGGGGCACACTGAACTCTCCTGGCGCTGACCCCAGGACGGTGTCTCTGACCCCAAGTCTTTAAGCCGGGCGGGTTCAGGCTTCGCAGCTGACTCCAGGTCTAAGCCCTCCGGCTGCTGCTCAGACTCTGTCACTGTAGCTCTTCTCCTTTTACAAGGCACCATTTTAGAAGTCCCACTTCTGGTCCATCCTGAAAAGATACAAGGCAAGTCTTTGTCACGTCAGTAGCACTAACAGTAATGACATCTGCTCAGTTATCATTTCATGATCCCCAGGTTCAATCATGAATATTCATCAAATGCCTAGAATTTTTAGGGAGGATGAGAAACTGATTACAGAAGCACAGCTCAAGCTCCCTCCTGAATGGTATGCAGTACTATTAGAGGAACAATATTATGGAACAGTGTTACCTTAATCTCTTAAGCTTCTATACCTCAGGCCTGAATGATGATGAAGGCCTCTATCCCCAGCCTAGGAAAAGAGCAAGGTGGATCTCCAGGAGTTCAAAGCCAGTCTGGTCTACGAATAAGTTCTGGGCCAGCCTGGTCTACGAGTAAGTTCTGGGCCAGCCTGGAACTGGTCTCCTGCACTCGCATTAAATACCCAGACGGACATGTAATCCAAAAATAAAAAGTAGGCCGGACGGTGATGGCTCACGCCTTTAATCCCAGCACTCAGGAGGCAGAGGCAGACAGAAATCTGTGACTTTAGGCCAGTCTGTTCTACAAGAGCTAGTTCTAGGACAGGCTCCAAAGCTACAGATAAACCCTGTCTCGAAAAACGAAAACAAAACAACAACAAAAAAAATAAAAACACAAAAATAAAAAGTAAATCTTACAGTATCACATATCACTTCTGCAATATCTTTGTGTTCCTGAGCAAGAACTATGAACTCAGTGAGGAAAGGAAAGCCTCAACTGGAGTCTCCAGTATCCAGCAATACACAGGTACTGTAGTCACTCAGCGACCATTCCCTGAAGAGATGAATGAATGAGAGCCGGCTTCAACAATGCTGTGCTGAATTTGGACCAAGCTTTGGGTGTTTACATAGGTACTGGAGGGTAGCTTCCATCCATAACAAGAAGACCTTGACCTTGTGACCCTGCTGACAACACTCACAGCTCCTTCGACTGCATCCAGAGCTTTCTGCAGGCCAAGCGAGCACTCTACCACCTGAGTACACACCCAGGCTCTGGTTGCACCCTTCTACGCAGAGAACACTCACTTTCATAAGTAGGTCCAAAAACAGAACAAGCGTCACTGGCAACCTTCAAGCCTAAAAGACCACTAAACAGTACTAGAGGAGACCGGCAGGCTTAAAATCAATGTTCGCGCTGACTTCGAGTTTGATCTGTAAAGATAACCTTCAGCCTCTGCAGTTCACCTTCTTTAGGGCATTAAAGGAGGCCCGCACCATAAAAGCCCAGGTTCTTATCTCGGGAAAGCTCAAGTAAGAGAAGATTCATTGATCCGTCCCGGAGAAGGTAAACGAGTAAGGAAAGGAATGGGAATCACCTAGGCGATTCCTTTATTTCACAGATGACAGCGTGAGCTTCAGGGGAGGGAGAGCAGAAAGGAAGCGGAGAGAAGACAACAGCCGGGCGCTGTTCGGTCAGAACTGTGCGGGGATCCAGCCAAGCGCTTCAAACAACAGCAGCTCCAAGAGCCCGCTCCTTGGAGGCCAGGAGGAAAATCAACAGGTTGAAGGAACGCCAAACCGGGAGCCGCCCCCCAGGGGGGTGGGAACCGTCCAGGAGAAGCACTACGGAGGGAGTCCTAGCTGTGGTCTCCTCAGCGCTCAGCACTAGCTCGAGTCCGCACCACCACTCACACCCCTGAAACCCAATTTCCTGCAGCGCCGCGCACCTCAACACGGACAGCCGCCACCCCCGAGCCCCACGTCAACCTGCCTCTTCCCGCCCCACCACACACTACCCAGTACCCTCAAACGCCGGCCCGATCCCGCGGAAACTCCGCTTCTGCACCAGCGGAAGTAACACAACGGCACTGCCTTACGTGCGCGCCCCCGGGACGCGGAAACTGGGCGTCAAGGAGCATGCGCACAACTATAGGCGCCATCTTGTTTTAGGGCCTCCTGAAGCCGCAGGGCTAAGCCGTCAGTTGAGGGAAAAAGTAACGGAACACATGATAGAAGAATGTGAAATAGACAATGAATGGTTAAGTAGGCAGGCAGGCAGGCAGGTAGGTAGGTAGGTAGGAAATAAAAGATGTAGTTTGATAGAGTGCTTGCTTTGCCTGCTGGAAACTATTGAGTTTGAATACCAACGCTAAATAAACCCAGTCTGGCAGTGCACACCTGTAATGGCAGCACTCAGAACGTGGAGGCAGGAAGATCAAGAGTTCAAAACTACTCTCAGCACAAACTTGTCTGTCTTGTCTAAATAAAAGCATGAAAGGCTCTTCCCTGCGGACTTAATGGTGCATCCCTTAATCCCAGCACGCAGGAGGTAGAGGCAGGCAGATCTCTCAGTTCGATGCCAGCCTTGTTTACACGGTGAGTTCCAGGACAACCAGGGCTATACAGAGAAATTTCTATCTCAAAAAAAAAAAAAAAGAAAAGAAAAGAAATAAGAAAAGAAGAAAGGGATGAAAGAAGAGCAAATCCCAGTTTTCTCTCTTTAGTTAATTATGCAACACAAAAATGAGGGTGGAGAATCCATGGTTTCAGCTGACAACTAATGACCCTTCCCACAAAATACCTGATACATAGGATGAAAAGGAGAATTCTTACAATTCAGAAAGATACCATAAACCAAAGGCAGACTTGAACTCAAGATATGGCAGATAGTCAAACCTACATTATATTCTTCCTTTTTTTTCTGTTTTTAGTTTCTCGAGAACGGGTTTGTTGGTACAACCTCCGTGGCTGTCCTGGAACTCGCGTTGTAGACCAGGCTGGCTTCGTACTCGTGGAGATCCACCTGCTTCTGTCATAACATTCTTCACTATGGAAAATGTTCTCACGTTATCTTAGGTGATTTGATCGCCCAGTCCATTTTAGGTCTTTTGCTATTGTTTTGCTTTCACGACACTCCCACACTCACCCCACACTCACCCCCAATTATCCTGAGACTCATGATCGTCCTGCCCCTAGCCAGGTGTGATCTTTAATCGGTTTCTCGAGTTTAAGTTTCCGTAATTGCCTTCACTGTCCCAGAAAGCACTAAAACAATGGCAGTCAATGCTGAAACAGCATGGAATTTTGCTTTTTACAACTTCTGGAACCCAGAAGGTTCAGCTTCCTTCTGTATAAACCCAGGCAACTAGAAGCACAGCTTCAGAAGACGCTAAAGCGACTATCTTCCTCTCTTCAGAGCGTGGAGACCTAGCCGAGCCTGTTCTTGACTCTCCTGCCTCGCCCACTCGAGTGCCACAGTCACAGGAATCTGCCAGTGAACTAGCACAACACCTACACTTCCTACTGGGCTTTGAAATTCTTCGCCAGCTCCCACAGCCTGTGTGAATGGGCGGAGCCTCATTCTCGGGAAAACTCGGCAGTGGGAGGGGTCTCCTCTCGAAGAGTCTCCTCCGGAACCTTTCGGGCAGAGGCGGAGTCTTCTGCCGAGGGCCCTTCGGAGAGAGGCGGAGCCTATCTCGCATCAGGACCAGTCTGGCTGCACCTGCATCCTTAGCTCAGAGCATCCCTGGAGCATCTAAGAGGAAAGCGCACCCAGCAACCTGGGATCGGACTGTCGCAGGGGCAGTCACCAGACACCATCCCCTCCCCTGATCTGGAGGTCTACAGCCGCGGCCTCGGTACCGACCGAGATTCCCAAAGTTGTCTGACCTCTGCAAAAGTGTTGCTATCAACAGCCTCTGATCACAACATGGCTGAGATCACAAATATACGCCCCAGCTTTGGTAAGTAGGATCTGACAAACTAAATTTCGAAGCCATCAGGCCGGCGCAAAGCCAGATAGCTGAGGAATGGGCAGGGAGTGAAGTGCAGATGGGATTCTTTCATTGCCGGCCCCGCTAGAATTGGGCCTCAGGTGATGAGTGAGTAGAAGGCTGTGAACAGCGCCTGGATTTCATCTGCGGGCTGCAGGGGCTGGCAAGGCCAGAGTGCTTCCGAGGGTAGGCGAGTCCAGGATGCTAAAACCTTGACCGTAAGCCCTCCGTGGTGCACTGTCAGCACCGCCTGTGGTGATAAATGGCTGGCATGCGGAGGATGTGAACCCCTCCTTCTGGAGGAAGAGAGGTGGGGTAGGCCGAGCCCTCCCCCTTGGGGGCACGCAGGGCGGTGCCCCTTCCTCCCCCTTCTACTTCTGATGGCTGCAGGAGAGGGAAGTGGCAAGGGGGATGGGGCGTCAAGATGGCAGCACAGAGACTATGGGCTGTGTGACTGGCAGCCAAGGGAGGCGGAGGCCTCCGGGGAAAGAAGGGTGCGGGGGTGGGGATCAGAAAGGAAGCCACTCCTTAAGCCGGTCAGAGGGTTGCTAGGGCTGGGGTAAAATGCTAGCCCTGCAAGCTTCGTTCTGCAATGTAATGGTGAGGTCCTTCCCGGTGTTACCAAATGGCGCTTGGCGCCGCCGGGTGGAGAGATGACGTGATGTCTATTTCTGAGCCTCCTGGCAGTGCCTAGGCGCTTCTTCCGGGGCCTTTGTTCCCTGTTTCCCTGGTCTGGCTTTTCAAAAAAGGGGGACTCACCCGTGCTGGTGCTGGCGGGGGCGGCACTCCTGTCTTGGGGGAGGGGCGAGAGAGGCCCAGCCTGGGGGAGGCCGCTTTGTGTACCACAGAAAGCATTACGTCATCTCTCAGAGCGCTAGTTGGCGACCTAGCCCTCTGGGCTCCAAGAACAGTTTTGCACTCCCTAGGGCAGAAAGTGCAATGGAAAAGAGGAGGGAAAGAAGCAAGAGAGCCTTGGCCAAGTCGTTTTCTTTTGGGCAACTCCTCCATAATGACTGAGGAGAGCGAACTTCTCATGCCATGCTTCCTGACCACATGAATTAGTAAAATAAAACTGCCCTGTGATTGGGGTTGTCAAGTGAGAGTAGCCCCAAGTCTAGAATCTTCACACATTCCTTAAGAGAGTATATTCCTCCCACCCCACCCCCCAATTCAAGAGAGAGTATATCCCTCAGACAATCCGGTGTGAGCATTAGGTTCCAGAATTTAGGGTGGAGACACAAACCAGCTTTAATAAAAAGAAAAAAATGGCTTTTCTCGCAAGTAAGAGTTTTAAGGACTAGAACAGAACCCAATGTTCTGTATTCTCTCAACATAGTGAGACATGAGATCAGAGAAAGCATCCACACAACGGATCTTCATGCCCTCAGTGCCTGCTCCCATTTGACCCCAAGGCTGGACTGTAGTTCTGCTTGCCCTCTGTCTGCATCCTGAGTCCTGAGTTTCCCAAACTGAAACCTGTTTTGTGATCCCATGAGAAACCCAGGATTTTCTTTCCAGCAGATTCCTTTCTCAGTGCAGCTCCAGACTCCTGGGAAAGTAGGCGAAACAGAGCCCAACCTGTGCTTTCTTTACGGGCGATTTAGTGGAAATGGGGTGGGGGTAGTCAAACTTTTCTATACTGTGTTTTCCTTAGTCTTAGCGTATCTTCCAGCATAGGTAGTATTATATGCACTCACCAGACCAGGAGAATGAAGCTTAGATTAAGGTCCAAATCAACGAACGAGTCAGGGTTTGAAGCAATGTCTGGCTGCTGCCGTAGTTCATTCTGATTCTGCTGTATGACACCGGTCTTAGTGACAGTGAAAGGCTATGCTTTGGAAGAGAAGTGTGAGTAACCAGGTCTGAGACTGAAGGAGTAGCCCACAGGAAGAATGGGTGCTCAGAATTGAATCGGGTCCTCTGGAATAGGACAGTCCATGCTGTTAGCTGCTGAGCCATCTGCAGCCCCCACCTATATTATTTAAAATGAAAACTCTTCATTTCTTATTGGTTCCCAACTTTCACTAAGCCATGAAATGTTCAGTTAGAAAAAATTTCAGAGACCAGGCATAATGACAGACTGGGGAGGCAGAGGCAGGCAGATCCTTCTGAATCCAAGGCTAACCTGGTCTACACAGCAACTTCTAGGACAGTCAGAGAACAGGGTGAGGCCCTTTTTTCAAAAAAAGAAAAGAAAAGAAAGAAAGGGAGCTGGAGAAATGACTCAGCAGTTAGGAGCAGTGGCTGTTCATTCAGAGGACCCTCATTCAACTCCCAGCACCCACAAGGCAGCTCACAACTCCAGTTCCAAGCCATTTGGCTTTACTGTGGTTACCTAGGTGTTTTTAAATATCTCTGCCATTTTTCCTATTCATGTGAGCGTGGGCTTAAGTCGGTTTTTATTTCATCTATTTATTTGTGTGTTTCTTTATTTATTTTGAGACAAGGTTTCTCTTTAGCTTTGGGGCCTGTTCTGGAACTAGCTCTTGTAGACCAGGCTGGCCTTGAGATCTGCCTGCCTTTGCCTCCCAAGTGCTGGGATTAAAGGCAGGTGCCACCAATAACCTGCTTAAATCGGCTTTTAAAAAGTAGTTGGAAGTCTCCTTTGTGAGAGGGGGTTGCAGGATTGTGATTAGTCTTTCTGTGAAGCTCTGGCTGTCCTAACTCACTCTGTAGACCCGGCTAGCTTGAAACTCACGCACATCCTTTTGCCTCTGCCTCCCAATGTCTGGGATTAAAGTCTTGCACCGTCGTGTCCTCTTTGTATGCTCTTTCACACACGCACAGGGTGTGAGAGACCAGATAGTGGTACGGTCCTGAAGACAGACTGGGTTATTAAGAGTTAGTATAGAGGATGGGAAAGGTTGTGGTTTTTTAATTATTTAAGTTTTTTCATGTTTGTTTTGTTTTTTAGTTTTTCTTTTCTCTCTCTCTCTCTCTCTCTCTCTCTCTCTCTCTCTCTCTCTCTCTCGATGTAGCTCTAGATGTTCTGGGATTCTCTTTAGAGAAGGCTAGCCTAAAACTCACTAAGATTCCCCTTCTCTGCCTCCCAGTTAATCTACTGTGATTAAAGGCTAGGAACTCGCCCTGTAGACCAGGCTGGCCTTGAGCTCACATAGATCTACCTGCCTCTGCTCCCAGAGTACTGGGATTAAGGTGACCACCACCACAGTCTGACCCAAGGTTATCAGTGCTAGGAAAACACTTTGCTGTAGACTGGCTCATGTGCTGGGTGCTCTGGATTGGCTACATGGCAAGAAAGGGTTTAAGAGAAAATTACATTTGAACTGTATGTGGTATCAAATTCCTTTAATTCCAACTCTCAGTGGTGGCAGCCAGATTTCAGAGTTCAGGGGCAGCCTGGAGTACAAAGCAAATTCTGGGACAGTCAGGACTATACAGTGAGAGCCTATTGAAGAAGGAGGAGAAGGAGGAGGAGGAGGAGAAGGAGGAGGAGGAGGAGGGGAGGAGGAGGAGGAGAAGGAGGAGGAGGAAGAGGAGGGGAGGAGGAGGAGGAGGAGGAGAGGAGGAGGAGGACGAGGAGGAGGGAGGGGAGGGGAAGAAGGGAAGGAAAGAAGCAAGGAAGGAAGGAAGAAAGGAGTAGGAAAGGGAAAGGAAAGAAAATGCATTTGACATTTTCTTCCTATTTAAAATGCTAAGAAAATAAATGAGACTCCAGCATATAACAGAAACTTGATATCAAGTTAAGAAGTATACCGTTTGCAGACCTAGAGCTCTTTTCTTTCCCTCTTTCTTTCTTCTATTTTTGACATTTATTTATTCATTCTGTTGGGTGGGACACACACATGCTAAGTATATACAGGTCAGAGGGCTTGCCGGAGGGGTCAGTTGTCTTCCACCATGTGATTTCTGCGGATGAATTCAGGCCACTGGACCTCTGATGGCAAGCACCTTTACTTACTGAGCTATCCCACCAGCATTCTTTTTTAAGGTAGAGTTTTTCTGTTTGCTTGTTTGTTTTTTGTTTTGTGTTTTTTTCTTTTGTTTTTGTTTTTGTTTTTGTTTTCGAGACAGGGTTTCTCTGTAGCTTTGGAGCCTGTCCTGGAAGTAGCTCTTGTAGACCAGGCTGGGCTCAGACTCACAGAGATCTGCCTGCCTCTGCTTCCCAAGTGCTGGGATTAAAGGTGTGCGCCACCACCGCCCAGCTAAGGTAGAGTTTTGGGGTAATCTAGACTGACTTGAAGCTTGCTAGATGAGACATTAGAGTCAGGCTAGTTCTCAACTTGCAATAGCCTCCTAGCCTCAGACTCCCGAGTGTTTGCTGGCATGACTCAATACTCTTTTTTTATTAATTTATTAATTCACATATTTTATGTATATTAGTTCTTTTCTGCATGTATATCTGTACCTCAGAAGAAGGTATCAGACAGTTGTAAGCTGCCATGTGGTGCTGGGAATTGAACTCAGGACCTTTGGAAGAGCAGTGAGTGTTCTCAATCACTGAACCATCTCTCCAGCCTGGCTCAATACTCTTTTAGCTTTGCACCCACTCTGACAACTCCTGCTCACCTTCCCAAGACCAACTAAACTCAATACCGTACCCTTTTCCACACAACTCTCATTCAGTTAGCAAGACAGCCCCGTTGTTGACTGTCTGTATTGGGTGTACTGGATCAGTCTCCTAAAACCAAACACACAGCTCATGCCCTGTGTAACAAATTCCTACACAAAAAGCAACCTTCAAACACCCAGGGCACAGCTTTCTGGGAAGCACAAATAAAACTGACCAATCAAATCTGCAAGTGCTATAAGAATAATCACCCGGGCAGTGGTGGCGCGCGCACGCCCTTAATCCCAATCCCAGCACTCGGGAAGCAGAGGCAGGCAGAGCTCTGTGAGATCGAGGCCAGCCTGGTCTACATGGAAAGTTGCAGGACAGCCAGGCTTATACAGAGAAACCCTGTCTCAAACAAGAGCAACAACAGCAGCTAAGCAAATCTGTTCCCTGACTTTAGCAGGAAGGCAAGAGTACGGGTCACCTCCTGGGCAGTGAGCCGAGAAGGCTCCCACTGCAGAGGCTGGATTGAGGGTAGTTCAGCTCCCAAGGGGCACTCTCTTGTCAGGAGCAGGAGACTTGGTTTGACACACCTCTACTCTCTGCCTTCAGATGTGTCACCAGTGGCGGCAGGCCTCATCGGGGCCTCTGTACTGGTGGTATGTGTTTCCGTGACTGTCTTTGTGTGGACATGCTGCCACCAGCAGGTGGAGAAGAAGCACAAGACCCCGCCATACAAATTTATTCACATGCTGAAAGGCATTAGCATCTACCCAGAGACCCTCAGCAACAAGAAGAAAATCATCAAAGTTCGGAGAGACAAAGATGGTCCCGGGAGGGAGAGTGGACGAGGGAACCTGTTAGTAAATGCGGCAGAGTTTGGCCTGCTGGGCCAAGAAAAGGACCCCAGAGGGCCTAGCTCTGCATCTTGTATAGACCAGTTACCCATCAAAATAGACTGCGGGGAAGAACTGAGGAGCCCCATGACAAGCCTGACCCCTGGTGAGAGCAAAGCTACCTCCCCATCATCACCAGAGGAAGATGTGATGCTAGGATCCCTTACCTTCTCGGTGGACTATAACTTTCCCAAAAAAGCTCTGGTGGTAACAATCCAAGAGGCCCATGGGCTGCCAGTGATGGATGACCAGACCCAGGGCTCTGATCCCTACATCAAGATGACCATCCTTCCTGACAAGCGGCATCGAGTGAAGACCCGTGTGCTTCGCAAGACTCTGGACCCTGTATTTGATGAGACCTTCACCTTCTACGGCATCCCATATAGCCAGCTACAGGATCTGGTGCTACACTTCCTTGTGCTCAGCTTTGATCGCTTCTCTCGGGATGATGTCATCGGGGAGGTCATGGTGCCACTGGCTGGTGTGGACCCCAGCACAGGCAAGGTTCAGCTGATCAGAGACATCATCAAGAGGAACATCCAGGTGAGGAGGAAGAGTGTGCTGGGGAGGAATGGTAGGTGGGAGGGTCAAGGGAGCGCTGGTAGCAAAGACGGTGACAGAGAAGGTACTGAGCTCTTAGCTCTCAGAGGTAAGCAGCAGCAAAGTGAAACAGAAGACCTGGGAGATGTGTTCCTCTCACAGTCAAATTCTAGAAGTCAAAAAGGCAAGTTGTTTCTAAAATTTCACTTAATGGTTGGTATCTTGGTGTTGCATTCAGCTTGCTCAGGCTGGTGCCACAGCCCCAGCCCCTGCACCACGTATCCAGTGAAGGGGCTGCCCGAGTGCTCTAAACCTGTCATCTCCCTTGAGGGAGCATGCACTCCTACTCCTGGAAATCTGAAACCTCAGCTTTCTCTCCTCAGTGGGTATAAATATCATAAATATGTCTTTTTTTTCCTTGAGAAGGGGTCTCTATATATCCCTGGCTGTCTCAAATGTCTCAAAACCCACCAATAAACTGGCCTCAACCTCACAGAGATCTGCCTGCCTCTGCCTCCCATATACTGGGATTAAAGGCGTGAACCACCAACTTTTGTCTTATTTTATTTAATTTATTTGTGGGGTTTTGTTTTGAGACAGGGTCTCATGTAGACCATCCTGACCTTGAACTTGATGTGTGACCAAGAATGCTCTTCAGCTCCTGGTCTTCCTGCCGCTGAGATTATAGGTGTGCACTACCATGTCCAACAATGTGCTGTGTGTGTGTTTTATTTTTGTTCTGTATTTGTCTTTTTATTGAATTTATGTATTATTTATTTGTATATGTCTGGGGGAACACACATGTACATGTGTGTCACAGCACGTGTGTGGAGGTCAGAGAACAACCTTCCGGAATCAATTCTTCCCTTCCACTCCACAGGCTTGGTGGCAAGCACACTGACCTGCTTAATAATCATCTCAGTGCTCCCTGAGTGTTTCTTTCAGAGATATTTTTATTATTGTTGTCGGTGTGTGTGTGTGTGTGTGTGTGTGTGTGTGTGCCTGAGGAGATCAGAGGTTGTTGAGTTCCTTGGAGCTGGAGTTTTAGGTAGTTGTGAACTGCCTAATGTGGTTGCTGGTTCTCTGCAAGAACAATAGGCGCTCTTAACCACTGAGTCATCTCTTCAGCCCCTGTTTATGTCTTTTTAAATTTATTTTATTTTATTTATTTTTGTGTGTATGGTCTTTCAAGATAGGGTTTCTCTGTTGTAGCTTTGGAGCCTGTCCCAGAACTTGCTCTGTACACCAAGTTGGCCTTGAACTCAGAGGTCCACCTACATCTCCCTCCTGAGTGCTACAATTAAAGGCGTGCATCACCACCGCCCAGCGAATGTCTTTTTATAAGCATGCTGTAAATGCAGTTTAATATACTACACAGTTTCCAGGCCCTGACGTTTATCACAGAGACTTTTCCTTTCTTACTCCTTTCCCTTGTTTGTGTTAGGAGGAGAATAAGGCCTTCCACACTGCCTTTTCTCCCTCTGTCCCCACTCAGGAACATTGCTCTGGAATTAATTTCAGAAGTACAGAGCACATACAGCCACCCGTCCTGGTGGCTCACTCACTTCTTCCGCAGGTAGGAAGCAGAGCAGTACTGAGTGTGTGCACTGAGGTTCTGGAACTGGCTGCCTGGCTCCGCATCTTTCCAGGGGTATGATGGGTACCTGACTCCTCTCAGTCTGCACTCCTCAGCTGACAACATTGCCTTCCTTGCTAGGTTATGATGATGACACAGGTAACGTGCCCAGCGTATTGTCACCCTTAGGAGTCCTCACCCTATTGGACGAAAAGACATCTTTAGCTCTGCTTGTTTGCACCCTTGAGGCTGAACAGAAACACAGGGCATGTTGCTCAGTGAAAGTGGACTTGTCTAGTATGGGAGAGGCCCTAGCTTCACTCCCCAGGCAAAGGAGAAAAAAAAGGAGGGGGCTTTAATTTTTAATTTTTACGCAGAATCTGATGAAGCTGAATAGGACCTTGAACTTGTTATTCCTCTTTCTCCGTTTCTCAAGTGCTGGGGTTACAGGTGTGCACTATCGCTCCCCTCTCTGTGGTTCTGGGTTTGTGCATGCGAGGTAAGCACTCTACCAACCCAGCTGTGTCTCCAGCACTGGTTTCATTGTTTTGTTTCATGACCGGGGTCTTACTATTTACCCCCTATGTCCTGGATCTCACTATGTAGACTGGGCTGCCTTTGAATTTACAATAATTCTCCCATTTTTGCTGACCAAGTGCTAGGATCCTGTACCAGCCAATCTGACTGGGCAACATGGCAGAGGCCTGTAAACCCAGCTTTGGTAGGTGAGAGCAGGAGGATTAGGAGTCAGCACAGGCCGCACAGAACTTTCCCTGGTGTGTGTGTGTGAGTGGGGGAAGCACACACAAGGGGCTGTGGATGTGACTGAGTTGGTAGAGCGCTTGTCCATCGGGCACAGAACCTTTGATTGAAACATGGAGGATTCTACCTATAGTTCCAGCATTTAGGAGGTAGGAGCAGGAGGACCAGAGGCTCAAAATCAGCACAGCCTGAAATACATAATATCCTGTCTCAAAAAGAAAGGAGGAAGTAACAGGAAGGGAAGGGAGGGAACAAATCCTTTGTTCCCCTCTGTCTTCTCACCACCTGCTTTCTTCAGGTGGTCTGACTCCCATTTCTAGAGGCTCCAGAGTCCATCTCCACTCTCTGCCTTGTTCCCAGCGCTGCCCACCACTCTTCCAGTCCACTCATGGGCTCACGGTCCAGCCCTGTGAGAGGGGCTGGCTCTGTGCCGACTTACAGCTGGGAAGAGACTGGCAAGAAAAGGAACTGATTCAGGCTGGAAACAAAACAGCCGCAAATCCAGGGCACTGGGCAGAGCGCACAGACAATGGCATTTGCTAAACTGCCCGGAGCTCTTGGGGAGAGCCAAGTTTCTTCCCACTTTATTAACTCCTTTCATGAGGATGAAGCCAGGGCTAGGATCCTGAGCAATACATCTCAGTAGGAGAGGTCCAGACAGGACCCCTGAGTTTGCCAGACTCCCACACTTCCTGAGCCCATATCTCTGATCAGCACCTGGGATTCTGTCTGATTTCATCCATGCCATACGCAACACTCCTCAGTCATTCCCAGGATCCCCAGCAGAACAGCCCCCAAATGCCTGCTCCTGATCTTCCTACGACAAAGCGCCTGCCCTTCGTGTGTGTCCCTCATAGGCTTCAGCAAGAATCACTAGACATTTCATTTCCCAGTTCATCTCTAAAAGGTACCATTTATTGTTTAGGGGCTTAGGGGAATGTGTTGGGGATCTAACGCAGGGTCTGACACACACTGAACTACATCCCCAGCCCAGGGCATCCTCTTACAGCTCCTAACCAAATTATCTTCCTTCAGAGATTGCTTGGTAGGAGGGCCGAGACTGGCCTAGTCGGAGTACTCGCTGCACAAGTACTCCACACAGAGGTTGGTGGTGTCTGTGGTGATGCGGTTCTGGGTGGAATCTAGGTATGCACTCTTCTGAGCTCACACTCCAAGCCCCAGACTTGGTGGTGATGCGGTTCTGGGTGGAATCTAGGTATGCACTCTTCTGAGCTCACACTCCAGCCCCAGACTTGGTGGTGATGCGGTTCTGGGTAGAATCTAGGTATGCACTCTTCTGAGCTCATATTCCAAGCCCCAGACTTGGTGGTGATTGTTTTTTGTTTGTTTGTTTGTTGTTGCTTTGTTTTGTTTTGTTTGTTTCCTTACAGGGTCTCACTGTATAGCTCTGGCTGACCTGAGCTATGTAGACCAGGTTGGTTTTGAATTCATAGAGATCCACCTGCCTCTGTCTGCCAAGTGGTGGGATTAAAGGTATGTGCCACTATGCCTGGCCTATGGAATTAATTTTGTAAATTTTTTTAATTTATTTATTTTATGTGCATTGGTATTTTGCCTGCATAGATGTCTGTGTAAGGGTGTAAGGTCTTGATTTTACAGACAGTTGTGAGCTGTCATGTGGATGGTGAACTCAGGACCTCTAGAAGAGCAGTCAGTGCCCTTAACCGCTGAGCCATCTCTCCAGCCCCAAGTTTATTTTCAATTTATGTGTATGGGTGTTTTGCCTACATGTATATTTGTACACAACTTGTGTGCCTCATACCCACGGAGGCCAGAAAAGGGCACTGAATTCCCTGGAACTGGATCTGTACAGATCGTCTGAGCTGCCATGCAGGTTCTGGGAATCAAATCCAGGTTGTCTAGAAGAGTAGCCAAGTGTTCTTAAATGCTGAGCTGTCTCTCCAGCCCTTGAAAATAAATTTTTTAAGGATCTGCTTTGTTTTCTTATATTTTACTTAATAAACATAAGTGAACTCCCTTTCTCATGAGCCTGGAACAGGAGAGGAGGGAGCAAAAGCTGCAGGCTAGGGGAGGTGGGAGAGAGGTGGCCGCAGAGTCCGTGAGAGTCTGAGATGGCCTCTAATGTTCCTTGGATCATGTTGCTTACCTGGGGCCGTGGCATGGGAATGAGAGGGTCCTTAAAATCCCAGATTTACATGGGACCTCCAAGGTCATCCAGTCTAGCTATTGGACTAAAGGGAGAAAGAAAAAGTGTGTCAATACTCCAGAAACACAAAGAGAGCTGCTTCCTGTGGAGAGGCGGAGGCAGTGGAATGTTCAGGTTTTGTTTCTTGCATTTTCTCATGGTTGTGATTTAGAGTGGTATTGGCCCTGCAGATGTCTGGTCCCGCGAAAGGGTTATTGAGGGCACAGAGCCCCCCCCCCCCCGCAGCACAGATGCAGGCCAAAAATTACTCTGAAGGCGGCGTTCAAGTAGTTACAGGGAAGTGGTGCTGTCCTCACCCAGGTTTGCTTTCTGAACATGTCCTGTAGGATCTTGGTCCTGGTCCCCTGTGCCACAGTTGGAGGCTCTCTCTCAGACACAGCTGAACCTTCCCTCCACAGCTCCCCATTTGCTTGCTCCACAACAGGGTCTTTACCTCCTTAGGTCTGGGACTGGGACACAGCCTAGATCCCAGCCCTC